ATAATCGTGGTCTATAACTAGGCAAAGTATAGTCGTGGCACTCGCCATACTTTCATAGAGATGTATTTACCATAGTTTCCATAGAGATGTATTACCATAAGTTTCTTAACTAAACTTTCTGAAACTATGGTAATACCATAGTTTCACAGAGATGTATTTAGAAAAATATGAGTTCACAATAAAATAAAATAAAAAAATTGATCATCGAGTAAAAATTTGCTTAAAAACAGAATATTTTCACAATTCGTGTAAGTAACAATTCTTCTGTATATGAAAATCTTCTGATGGGAAGAAATGCGGAAAAATATATAATGACATATTTTTATATTATCTATTTCAAAGATTTTCTGCAACTTTTTTTTTAATTTAAAACAAGTTTAATTTTAACATTAATATGTTTGTTTTGTAGTAATATATTGGTTAGGTGATTTTCATTGGATAACTAATACATTGAACAACACATTGTACTAAATAAGAAAATAACATGTTTAAACTCCAATAATTGCTAATAAACATTACAGAAATTTAAAAAGGGAAAAGAAGCAAGAACAATGAGAAATAGCATCACTACTTTCTCACGTAATAAAAGAATAATTTTTTAGTTACTGTTACCGTCTATTGAGTCCCGAAGGTACCGGGAATTAATAATTTCGAGTCCCGGTTCTTTGATATCTCAAAAGAACCGGGAATCTCCGGTTCTGAACCCTAGTTACTATATTATCAAGAAATTATGTTTTTTAACTAAAAACATTTCCAAATTTAAAAAAAAATGCGCAGAAAAATCTTCATATTTCTGGGGCCAAAATATACTATACTACCCCTAAAAATATTTGCACTTATTTAAGACTCACCCTGTATAGGGCGATTCACGATAATGGTACGTTATAGCGTTTCCAGAACCGGAGCTGTTTTTCGGAACGGGTAATTTCGGTTATTCCAGATTTATAGGAACTATTCTAGATTTATACGGGATTTCCAGATTTTTTTTTCGGTACTTTCGGTACTAGCAAATTTTTGTTCAATGGTGGTGCAGTTCGTTACACAGCAAGCAAGGGATGGTTATCAAAAGTAAAATCGATAAAAAAGTTGAGGTTTAAATGAAAATAATAACAAATTATTAAGTAATAATCAGTCATGAGAAAATTAACCTGAACACAAACATCGCAAATGACTCTCAAAAAAAAACCCAAAGCACAATTTTTTGAATTATTACTACAACCAATAGCAGCACACAGAGGCACTCATTTTTTGTCAATCTGTCTCTGTGCTGGGACGCAACGCTCGAACCTCGCAGGTCGACGGACGGAACTCAACTGAAAAACTCTGCAATCTTCCGATATTCGACAGATTGTAAAAACTGGCAGAAAATATTTGGGAGAGTGCAACTACTCTTTTCCTTCTACTATGCCTCTAGTATTTACTACATTTTTTGTCTCTTGTAAAAAACAAAGAGACAAAAATGTAGTAAATACTAGAAGGACTATTTTACGAAAAAAAAATCGGTCGTCGATTGAGTTGGAAAATATTTATACTAAAATTTATGTAGAGGTAAGGGTAGTTTTCACTCTTCCCGTACCTTTTCTTGATTTTTGTGAAAGTCAAATGTTTCCCAACATTTCAGTCAAATCGGAATAACGTTTCTTAAAATATCTGAAAAAATGTGTTTATTTTTTTAAAGTTTGATGCCCTCTAACGAACAAACGAAGCACCTTTGTGTCCAATTAACTTATTTTGATTCCAGAAATACGTAGTAGTTCTATGTCGACGGAATATTTGGTACACCCTGTATAATATAACTGTCACTTTACTACTTCAGGTGACACTATAGTTCATTATAATTCTGAAAATAAAGCAAGATAAGTTGTTTGCTTCTCATTTAGTTTGGTTTGGTTTGGTTGGTTGGTTAAATCTTAATCTTTTTAATGACACAGTTGTATGTATCTCAATTGTAGTTTAGGCGTACATGTATTTCCTTAATACTATAATATTTTTAGATTTAATTTATAGTGATACTAATGTTACTACAACCAAAAAAAAATCAGTACATATAAATATTCTTACTTAACATCCTGGCGAATCCAAAATCACATAGTTTTACGACACCCGTCGAAGTCAGCAGAATATTTTCTGGCTTGATATCCCTATGAATACATCCGTGTTGATGACAATATGATACCCCTTGTATAGTTTGCCAGATTATTTGTTTCACCATAAGATCCGGAATGCCTCGGGGATATTTTTCTAGTTCGTTTAAAACCGTTTTTTCGCAAAATTCCAACACTAGATGCAATCGTCTTTTTCTTCGGAATACTTCAAGCAAGTTGACTAGGTTTGTATGCTTCAAGTTCTGTAGAAATGAAATAGATTATGGGGAGGAATAACAAAATGACATTACAATAAAGAAGAGTCGTTTTCATAACTACCCTTGTTTGGGTCTGGAAGTAAATTTGAGGTATATTTATTTCATTGATTATTAGTCCCTGTAGGTAGCACTAAACATCAGTGATAAAAATTTTAATAAAATAATAATAAACAAATTTCTAATGTTATTTTTAATTTAGTTTTATTAACAGTGGTTAATAAAATTGCGTTTATCTCATGAAAGAGACCGAAATCGGCAACATATTGAAAGACAACTTTTAATCGGCATTAAACGACCTACACAATTTTGTGGCGCACAGAGCTGCAACAAGTCAGTTTTAAAAAGAAAGTCCTAAGTCTTTGAATCATTTTATTTCAAGTCAAGTCATTTTTGTAAAGACTTAAACCAATATAACATTATTTAAGTCATTTTTATGACTTAAGCCTATACTTTTGACTTAAATCATGATGATCTGCAAGTTAACGCAGTAAAATGACTTATATCAATATAATTACCCTCAAGTCAAGATAACCAGAGTTCAATTTAAGTACCTTTTTTTAAATGTTAATATTAATTTTCTTGTATTGCCAATTAGCGATTTTCTTAGTATTATATTATCTATACTAATATACAGGGTGCTACAAATTCGAGGTACGAGCATTGGTATCTGGGTAACCGTAATAGATACGAACATGGTTAAATTGAGGCAAAGTTGCGTATTGGGATGTTCACCAAGATGACATCAAAAAAGTTTTAAAAATTTCAAGGATTACTGAGTTTTTTGAAAAAAAATTATTTTATTATATTTATTTTTTATTTTTTCCTGTCCTTACTTTTTAGAAAATCAAAAAACTAATTGCACATTCTCATAGCCACTTTGTTAGGGCTATCGTATAGTATTTTGAGATTTTCAAATTAGCTGATATAATTTGTGGGATACAGAGGCCAACTTAATTTTTTTAAATACGGACCTGCATTTTTTATTTCAGATTTTGAAAGAACTCGGTCTCCTGAATACAATGATATGCCACACTTTATATATTTTTTTTTGTTTTGGGTACCTTAACAGCAACAAAACTATTTAATTATATTTAAAATAATTTCAAGTCGGACTCTGGTTTCTTAAATTATTTAATCTGATTATATTCATCGCAACAATATTGATCAGTGCTAATTAACATTGAATAAGAAAAATCGAGTCAATTGGAAGATTCAAATAAATAGTATCCAGGTCAGAAATTTAAAGATATTATTTTTAACTTTTTTTATTGTGAATTTGAAATCTCAGTGCGCGATCTAATAATACGCATAATATTAATCGTAGTTATTATAAATAAATCAACTTCTACAAACTAGTTTCTAATGTTCTACATGTTCGAAAGGGTTACCACCCTCCCTATTGCACAAATTTATTTTTCGTTCAATTTTATTTATAGCTCTTTGCACTTTCTTCTTATACTTCCGAATGCATTTTGTACTCTTTATTGTAAATGTCGAGATGAATTGATTTCACTTTTACAAATGACGTCCAGTAATGTAGCCCCTTGGCGATAGGCCCAGGAACTTCGCTGGACATTATACTGCTCTACCATTTCCAGTCCATCTTCCGGGAAAATAATTTGATTGTTTATATTATATTTATATTAATTTTTTATATTAATTTATTGCATTTGACTTTCCGTATTCAATAAAACATTGAATATGGAAAACCACGTCATTGTTAAGTTTGAATGCTAATCAATATTGTAACGATGAAAAGATTAAATATTTAAAAAAAACAGAGCCGGACTTGAAATTAGTTTAAATAAATTGTGTTCAAATGTCAAAACAAACAAAATATTAAGTGTGGCATATCATTGTATTTATGAGATCGAGTTCTTTCAAAATCTGAAATAAAAAATGCAGGTCCGTATTTAAAAACATTAAGTTGGCCTCTGTATCTCAGAAATTATCAGCTAATTTAAAAATCTAAAAACACTATCAGATAGCCCTAATAAGGTGGCTATGAGAATGTGCAATTATTTTTTTGATTTTCTAAAAAGTAACGACAGGAAAAAATAAAATTGATTTTAAAAAAATCAATTTTTTCCAAAAAACTCAGCAATCCTTGAAATTTTTAAAACTTTTTTGATGGCATCTTGGTGAACATCCCAAAGCGGCAACTTTGCCCCAATTTAACCATGTTCGTATCTATTACAGTTACTGAGATACCAATGCTCGTACCTCGAATTTGTAGCACCCTGTATATAAAATCCTTAAATGACTGACATACTGATTAATCACGATCCCGCTCAAACCACAAACCACTCAACATAAGAAGCTCAATTTTGTCGTACAGGGTTGATTCTTGGGTGTAGAGGTTCGATAAGAAGGGATTTTTCGAAATTCCAGTTCCAAGAGGGTGAAACCACCCCTCAAATATTACAATATTTTTTTTTAAAAAACGGTCAAGTTTCCGAAAAAACGCTTTAACACGTATATTTTATTTTGTTTTTTACAAATTTTAAGATTTTTTAAAAATGCATACAAGGTGTTTCGAAAAATCTAGTCATCGCTTGACGTAAAAAGCTGATTTTTGGAAAACAGATTGACTTTAGGGTGCGAAACTCGAATTCTAAGGGGGTGAAACTATCCCTCAAATATTAAAATATTTTTTATTTAAAAACCGGTGAGTTTTTCGGAGAAACTCTTAAACACGTATATTTTATTTTTTTGTTTTACATATTGTAAGATTTTTTATAAATTTATACAGGGTGTTTCATAAAATATAACCATTGAGTAATCACGATTCTGCTTAAACTGCTTGACGTTTAAAGCTGATTTTTGGCAAACGGATTGACTGTGGGGTGTAGAAGTTCGATAAGGAGGGTTTCTCGAATATCAAATTCCAAGAGAGGGTGAAAACGCCCCTCAGATATTACAATATTTGTTATTTAAAAAAACGGTTAGTCTTTCTGGGAAAACGCTCGGGCAAGCATAATTTATTTGGTTTTTTTTACATATTTTGAAATTTTTAAAAATCATACAGTGTGTTCCAAAAAAGTTGGGTAACTTCTTAACGATTCTGCTTAAACTGCTTGACGTAAAAAGCTTACTTTTGGCAAACGGATTTTTCGAAAGTCAAATTCCAATGAGATGAAACTACCCCTCAAATTTTACCAAGTTATATAATAATATCGCCATATTGTTTTTTCTCATGCTGACATAAATGTGAGAAAATTTTATCCAGTTTGTATGTTAATGGAAATTCCTGCTTTGCTTTATTATCACCTTTACAAATGATTAATTCGACGCGAACGAAGTCGCTGGTACACGCTAGTTAATTTATATTTTAGGTACATACATACATATACATGCATATTATAGGTGCAGATGCGACTAAAACCACATAAAATAAAACGGTTAATTTTCAGAATTACTACAAACACAAAAATATGTTTTTTATCAAATTTAACCGATTTTATAGTACTTTAATGTATCCATTACAGTTTAGATGTCATCAAATACATGCCTATTTAAGTACTGATATGTTTTGATCACTATGCAATATTTCGATGGCATAAGCTAAGGGCTGGAGGATTTTAAGGTACTCTTCAATATATTCGAGATAAATTTCTTTCGTTCGTTTTAACGGAGTCGGGAATTCACTTGAAAGACAACAGACTCACTACGCACACGTAACACGATAAATAATTAAAACCGGTTTCGAAAAACTAAAATTTTGAGCGGTCAGTCTAAAACTTAATTTTGCTGGCTCTTGACCCAAAACAGTTTGTTTAGAAATTTATAAAAACGAGAATTATAGAAAGAAGGATTATTTACAAAAAGTTGTTAGCTTTTGAGTTATAAAAATGCCACGAACAAATCCGAGTTATAATTTTTTATTTAATTTTGTTTAATATTCTTCCACGAAAATGAATTCGCAAATCCCAGTTTCGGATAGAGCACTCAAAAACATATAGAATAGAAGAAATCAAAACTATCCCAAAGCTTTCGTGCTAAGGATTTTTTTGAGCATAATTTCAGTAAACTATAATAGGATACATCTAGGATATACACACACCGGAAAAATCTAGGGATATCATTATATTAAAGTTAAAAATAAATGTTTTGAATAAACAACCACATATTTGTAGGCCGATTCTTTCTACTTGACTACTTCGTGTGACTACTACGAAGTAGTCACACTAGTTATTTCTAAATTTGGGATATTTGCAGAAATGTTTGTGCATTTTTTGTCAAATGTATAAAAAGCACCTAGCATCAATTGTTCGAATTTAACCTGTACTGGCTATGTTTTTATAATAACTGGCCAGAATTCATTCAAATAACTCTGTTTAGTATTAAACGACATTATGGAGCTTAGACATCTTAACAGAGACGAAATGCTAAGGGCCATGGGTATGCTCGAAGCTGGAATGCGCCAAATCGACGTAGCTAGAGCATTAAATACAACGCAAAGTGTAATATCGCGATTAAGGGTACCATTTTGCACGGGTATTATTTGCACGGGTATTATTATTTATTTAAGGGTATTATTTTTGCACGCTACCGTGAAAGTGGTGATGTTGCTGAAAGGTACACAGGGCGACATCGCATTACTACCCCTCAGCAAGATTAAATTTTACATTTAAATGCTCGACGCCGACCGACTCTTACAACACCAGAGCACCAGGAAACACATAATATAACCGTTAGTCCTGACACTGTTCGCAATAGATTAAGAGAGGTCAACTTAAGAAGCAGACGCCCCTGGAGAGCTCAACCCTTAACGAGAGGAAATCGAGAGGTACGATATTTGTTGGCTCAAGATCATGTTCAGTGGTCGAATGTACAATGTTCTCTTCACGGATGAGTCGCGCTTTGGAATTCATCCGGATTCGAGAAGGCTTAGGGTATGGAGAGAACCGGGAAATCATATTCGGTTGGATCATATTCAGGAAGTGCTTCCTTATCAAGGTGGAACAGTTATGGTCTGGGGAGGAGTCCAGTTAGGCCGAAAAAGTTAGGCCCTCGTTTTTCTTGAAAGGTTTCTAACAGGAATCACATATCATGATTTAATTCTTGAGCCTGTCGTGTTACCATATGTCAATGGTTTTGGGAGAAACTTCATTCTCATGCATCACAATGCACGGCCTCATACAGCCAGAGTGGTAAGTGAGTTTATCAATGCTCATCAATTAAACATCTTACCCTGGCCGGCACAATCTCTTGACCTCAACCTCATCGAACACTTATGGGACGCGGTCCAAAGAGGAATTTTGAGAATGGGTATGCCTCGTGAAACTCATAGGGATCTGGTTCGGGCCGTGAATGCAGCGTGGCAGGCTGTACCTCAAGATCGACAACCTGATCAGGAGCATGGAGAGACGATGTAGGGCTGTAATGAACAGTAGAGGAGGCCATACCCTTTATTAAGTAAAAATGGTTTTATCTCTTTGTTTTTAATTCACAGTTTAGAATAAAAAAAAATGTGTGTATTTTTTTGAGTTCAATAAAAATCAAGGTAAATTTGAAAATTCGGTAAAATTCGCATTTTTAGTTCCAATAGGTCCTCTAAACTATTTGTTTATTTTAATTTTATTATATCAGAAATGCAAATTACAAAAATTACTGACGATGGCTGGATACAATTGTAATATCCCTAGACTTTTCCGGTGTGTGTAGTATAGTGTTTATAATGTTTAGTAAGATATTCTTCCCTATGTGGTGTGGTAATAGCTAATGTGTTAATGTGGAAATTGACAGTACCGATTAATTAATGAACTGGATATTCGTTACTATTTGTTTAGATTACTGTCTTTAAATATTTTAGTTGCTGTCGTGGCGCCCCTCATTTCAGGCGCCCCGGGCGGCCGCCCGGATCGCCCGGCCCTTCCGCCGGCCTTGAGTATGTAGGAGGATGTATTTCAAGAAAATATTTTAACTTCTATACAGTGGCTCAAAAAAGTCATCACTTTACATAATTCTAAGATATGAGTAGTACTAAAAAATATATATTTTTCAACCTTTCTTAAAAAAAATTACTAAAAATACAGGAACTGTCCTAAAATCAAAACTTAATTAGGTATTTACTTTATATGGTCTGTGGTTACTTTGCTATAAAATGGTAATCGTAAATCACACAGGATGTTCAAAATATCTACGTCAAACTTTCTAAAATATAAAATATTTTTCTTCCTTTGCAGGACACCCTGTATATTATTTTTCGATAGATGAAGAATTAAAATATGAACATTAATTGTATTTAGAGTATTTCAAAAATTTTGTCAGTTTCGCATGAATATTTGCGGTTTTCTATTTTATATGGCATTTTCTATAGTAAATTTTTATTAAAGCCACCCAATGATTTTCTTTCGTATTTACCGTTGGAAAAACCGGTTTACTGCAAAACCATTAAAAATTTGGAATACTTTAAAACCAAAAAATTGTTCATTTTTTAACTCTAATAAAAAATAATACTATTTAAAAAAAAACAAAAAGAAAAATTATTTTATATTTTAGAAAGTTTGGCGTAGAATTTTGAACATCCTGTATGATTTACGATTACTATATTTATAGCAAAATTAAGTATAGGCAACCTAAAGTAAATATTTAATATAATTTTGATTTCAGGACTTCTTGTATTTTTAATATTTTTTTAAAGAAAGGTTAAAAATATATATTTTATTTATTTATTAATATTTCAAACTAATCAGATATTACTCATATCTTAGGATTATATCAAGTGATCTGAAAGGAAAGCCAAAAATGCATTAATATACAGGGTGTTCCATTAAAAAAATTATCCCGATACACTGACACTTTTTTTGAGCCACCCCATCGAAGTTATTAGTTATAAATATTTTTTTGAAATACATCCTCGTACATACTTTAGGTTTACACACTTAAACAAATTACCAGCTTTCATATTCTAGGGCAACAGATGCCCGACGCACTATTGCCGGACCCTGTATTTTAATATTGTTTTTTTTTACCCCCTAAATTTTCATTCTAATCACTAAAAGCACTTGTAGCTACTTTAACCCCCGTAGTTACTGAAAACGAATCGGACCTATATTGATATGAAAAATAAATCTTAATACATAATTATATCCTCTTATATTATTATATCTATTAATGTCTAGCAAATTAATCGACATACCTTCAATAATCTTATTTCTCTTAAGGCTATTTTCCTAATCACGGGATCTTCTTCGCTTTCAGTGAATTTCTTGATGGCCACTATTTCACCAGTATCTCTGTTCTTGCATTTGTATACCACTCCGTAACTTCCTTCACCTATTTTGCTGATTTTCTCATACCTTTCCATAACTTTTGAAGATGTTCTTGTTCTGAAATCATTTAATAAAATGTACAAATTTTAAGTTTAAATAAACTACATACAAGTGGAAGAATCTATTAAAAAACTGTAATGTTTTTGCCATTGTAATTAAAACAACATCAATCAAAGTCTCAGCAAGTGAAAGTTAATATGGATTGAGTCAATTTATATTTTATAAAACCTAAAAGTAACTATATATTGGTTATTTAAAAGAAATCGATCGAAAATATTAGTTCTACGGTAAATAGAGTGCGGTTGAAAATAAAATATTAAAACAGCTTCCTCGAGTCAAGGTCCGAACCATTGTGATATTGAATTTTCAATTATTGACCTTTAATATCGTGTCGTTAAGCAAAAGAAAATTGTATTTTTCGAATAGCGTGAGGAAATATAAATCACGAAAATGTAATTTAACAATATAATTTTACTTTTATTTTTACTTCTACTAGCATATAATATCACTACATATTTAAAATTATTTTCTAGATATAACTTTTTACATTTTTCAGATAAAACGATATTTGGTATGGTAGTATATGACGCCATAGGATCATTAACGTAACTAGCAACCCAACCTGGGGTGGGCCTGGTGGAGGCCTGGGTTTGAGCCCAGGGGCTTAGGGCTTTGTTTTTTAAAATGAAAAATAATTTTATAAAACATTTTTGAATAAAACGTTTACATGAATTTCTCTCTCAATAAATTTTATAGACTTGGTTATCAAACCGTGTTCCGTAGATTACTTAAATACCTACAAATTTTCAAAAGCCAAGGTAACACATTTTTTGAACACAACAAAATAATAATAACTAAACAAATCTAGAAAACGTCATTTTTATTAAGTCACAAGCAAATAAAAATGAATATGTAGTCAAGGGTCATAAAATTCAAGATTTCTCTGGGGGTGCCCAGCAGTACCTGGGGGGGTCCGGCTCCCCCGGGAACCCTTGTAGTTACGCCAATGATTAGGATTCATTGACGTATTCAATTGTTTTGGTCACTTCCAGTACTACCGGAAATGAAGCTACAACTATTGATTTTAAATGGCACCTTCGGTATATTTTACTTTATTCATTAAAAATGACACTCTGATCACGACATATCATAAGTCAGCTTTTGACATTTTTTCGCTTAAAACAAAATTGTATTTTAAATTTCAATCTATGTCAAGTGCCATGACTGTGTTTGAAACACTAATTTTAATCCAAAGACATGGAAAAATAAATTTGATTCTAATGTTTTCGTGTCTTGTTCTTGCCAGTAAAAAGATGCTCAAATCGGATTTTTAATAATATCTCAGTTTTTTTCTAAAACGGAACAAAGATCATTAGTATATTTGGAAAAAAGCATTTTTTTTACGAATAATAATTTGAAAAAAAAAAAAAAAAATATTTTGAGTTAAATTGTCTTTATGAGCCGCATGCAATTTCAAATAAACCATATTTTTTTTTTTTATCTGAAAGAATAAAAAGTTATATGGGTGAATCACTTTTGAGACCTACCACCCCAGAAAAGATTTGCACTTATTTGAAAGTCACCCTGTATATTTTTTAATAATGAAGTTTTATCTTGTAACACAGGACTTTAAATTGTCAAAATCTTTCAAACAACTACATTATATTCAGGAATTATACCATGATATTTTTTTTCAAAGACTTTCTTAGTAAAAATTCATATTTTAAAAATAGAAGCAGGTAATTCTTCTTTGTTCAGACTTTTTTTTGAACCAAAAGGAATAGGCACATTGATTTTTTACTTCACACATTAATGCTAGCTAAAAAAATGTGTTATTATACACTATAGAATTAATAAATCCATTGTAGCTTGATTTCAATGAATTTTATTAGACTATATCCCATCTTTTCATGTATTTAATTAAACATTTACATTTCATTATTTTAGATTTTTTTTAATTTTTGATTGATGTATTTTTTCCTAGAGTAGTATAATGACTGCTGAACTGAGTAATTGCTTTCAGCTTTTATTGATTATATGATGATCGCATGACAATGAAATATATTTCATGTGACATAATACCGAGTCCCTCGCTTTTGGAATTAAATTCATGTAAAAAATGCATTTATCTTTAAAAACCAAATTACATTTTTGTGAAGTTATATTATTACGGATACTGAAATAAGTTTTAAACTATCAACTAAAAATTTTCATCATATGCAGAATTGTATTTGATTTTTTTTTCTATCTTACCCTACTTTTTGTCGTCTTTTCTGTTCTTCTCTTTTATTAATTTTCGTTTAGGTTTAAACATAATATATTGATAATAGAACACTAGTTACTATATTAAATTAAGAGGAACGCGAACACAAAAAAAATCCATTCACTCAAAATTTAGGCAAAAAACTTTTTTTTTTTTTCAATTTTTTTTCTTTCCATTTTTTTTTTTTTTTTTATTTGAAAAAACGGTAAAGGGAAATATGTTTCTTTCAAGATCTATTAGTCCTGAAAAGACTCACCCTGTATATATAATTTATTAAAATTGATACAAAACTTATTGAAAATTATAAAATAATTTAAAAAATATTATGAAGTTTTCAAGGCACAAAAAATTGTTAAGTTTTAATAAATCTACCCCACAAAAACTACCATTATCATTTCAAAGGCTATCACGACGCGGTTTTTAAACACTTTCTGTTGCTTTACGCTAGTCCGTCAAACGTAGCCTCGTCAAAACAAGTAAAACTTTTACTCCTAATAAACAATACACTATTGTTCGGAAATAGTCTTAAGTCGAGAATTAAATACTTATCTAATGTCGAAGTGTAAAGTACTTACTGCAGGTCGAAATGTCGGTAGAAATTTGGGTTGGTAGAACTAGATGATAAATTGAAGAAGGGAGAAGTTATCTTGATCATCATACAGCTGTTTCAAAGAATTATATAAAAATAGCATATTTTCTGACAACGAATAGTCTAAAGTCTAACATCAGAAAGTTCTTCTATTATAGTTCTGCACTGAACAGAGTTTGCAAATGAATAATTGTATTCGATCAGCGGATTTTTGTCACATACATAAATTTCCAAAATAAATGTCTGCCGTTTAAAGGTCTATTATAATGGAGTCACACGAAATTACTTCAAAAATCGGACCAACATTTTAATTGGTGAATAGATATGAATTAGGTATATGTATGTTATACAAATATTTTTTATAGTTTTATAACATTTACAAGTACTTTTCTATTTATTAAAAGTTTTTAAATTTTGTAACATCTTTTTGCTATACCATACTACCATACCATATACCATACTATAGTACCATTTTTGCTATAATAGCATCCGTACAATTTTTTTGATGAATAGGTATAGGGTATATCTGTTATAGAAATATTTGTTATAGTTTTCTAAGATACATTTTTACAACTTTTACAGTTATTTTACGATTTATTTTAAAGTTTTAAAAAATTTGATTTTTTTATTTAAATCATGATTAAAATAAACATCACTTGATTTAAAATCATGCCAACCCCGACTAAAAGTATTTATTTATAAGAATTATTTATACATTTTTTTTAATTTCTAAAAAATTTTCCTTTGAATTTTGACTTAACTTAGAAAAAATAAAAAAAATTAATGAAATAATGTTTTGTTTGCCCTTGTTTAAGAAAATTAAAAAAACACTCACCTTTTAGAAAGCAGTTGCACTTGATTACCAAACAGCCACAGTTTATTACCATTGAGCCATCTCTCCATTAGACCATTATTTTTGCACTGAATGCTATACGGTGGTCACACTTCTGGTGTTGTGTTTATTATGAGTCGCCATGGTAACTAGGTGAATTATTGATGTCTTGTTGGTCTGCTGTGGGGGTCAATTAATTCAAGACATCATGGGGAAATTAGATATTTTTTATATCAATATAAGGGGGCGGACCCATGAGATATACCAGGCGTGTTATATGTCATATACAGGGTATTTCATAAGTACCTAGTCTAAAAAAATTAGATGTGATTTCTCATATGTTTTTGAGACAAAAAGTTTATATGAACATGGATTCTAGAATGTAAAATGAGTGGAAAGGGGTTTAATCACCGCGACCGTAAATATCTATTATGTCTCCTTTTCTTGAGTTATAACTCAATCTATAACTCATCACTCAATCTATAACTCATCATACATGAGGATCTTGTTGTAGGGAGGACAGGGTATTTCCCAAAGTATGTTCCATCCTCCTCTGACAACAGCTGTTCATCTTCCGTGCAGTGGACATCTACCTCCTACGAGGGTATACACTATACACCCTTCCACGGTTGGGTTTGATCCTCCGTGCCTTTCACCTTTCAGAGAAGTGTGTCTCCGACTTGGTTGTGGTTTGACCCTTGAGGTGGAGGCGAGAAAATCAATCTCCATTTTCTCCAACTCTTTAACTTGATCTCTTCTTAGACCTAATACCGGTGTTGTCCCGCACTTATAATAGAGGATATATCTCTTCCTCTACTGTCTCCTTTGATTTGAGGTCAATTCTTGTTGTGAGAACCTGACCATGACCTCCCTCGATTTGATGACTCGCCAACTCCATGTCTTTTCATTGGAGTTCTGGCAAAGCTAGTGATACACCTCAAATATTAGTTGGTCCACTTCTACAGAGCCCCGCATATGTAGAAGTAAAGGGAACGAGGATACAATAGGTTGCCCCTTGGTGTCCCAATGTTGAGACCAGTGATGGATAGTCTTCTATCTAGCCACGCCTCCCTTTGACCTGGTCCCGCCGATTTAGGTTTTTGATGAGGTTGTGCATCTTGGTCCGGGCGGTTAAACCAAGACCCCCACACTCCCTGCCCTTGATTGATAGACAGTAGAGGGATGTACTGAAGGGTAGTCCCATCCGGCATCGTTATACGTCTTGGTGCAATTCCCTGGCCACGACACTACAGCCAGTGTCAAGACATTGAGATACTCCTTAGACCCAGCCAAAGTGCCACAGGGCATTCCCCCTACCACCTGGCCAGGAGCTTCCCCACCAACGACAAGGTCTCGCATCTCTTCATGGATTCTAAAGTACTTTCTTTCTCATCTACAGGTTTTTAAAAAATTCTAGAAAATAGAATTTCTTGCTTAAAATAAATGGTAAGCCGTTGATGCTTTTTGAAAAAACATTTTTTTTTATTATATTAATATTTTTTTACAAAATTGATATCTTATCTATCATATTTTAGCGAATTTAAGATATGTAATGTAGTTGATTTATTTATTTTTCTCGAAAACCATTCAATATACAATAAGAATTCAAGGGATTAATCTTCATGGATGGACAATCAAGAAAAAATATTTTCTCGAAAAAAAGCAGTGGCGTATCATTTATTTTAATCAAATAATCCAGGAAGTTCACGTACGGACACCACTGATTCAAATGGAAAAACAACAGAAAATTAAATAAAAAACTGTTTTTATACCTAGACAGCACATACCAAAATTGAGGAAGAACATCTAAAGAAGTTTTTAACATATTCCGAGAAATTAGTTTTTTACTTTAAAATTTTACACACTGTAAATCAGAAACTAACTAAAATACTACTTAATCATGTACTTTAGACTCCATGTGCGCATAAACTTTTTTTCTTAAACGCGTATACGAGGAATCATACCCTAAAAGTTTTTAGACTACTTAGGAAACACCCTGAATGAGAAAAATATATCTAGTGATTCGCTTAATCAATTACAGAGACGCTGTTTATTGCTTTATTTTGTTTAGAAGATGCTATAAATATAAATAATATGCTACGTCACAGTGCCTTTTGAAATGTCAATTGGTGATTTTCCGTCGAACCAACCCTCATCAGTCATTTATTAAAATATGGCATATAAACATTGTTAAAAATTAATATTTAAATGAGAAAAAGAAAAAAGTTTCATTCTCCACCGTGCGGATGGCGCAAAAACCTCCTTCTCTATCTACCTTTTTCTTGGAGTTTTTTAATTAATTAAAATTAAATATTAATTTTTGGCAATTCTTCATTACAATTTTTAATAAAATACAACAGAAGTTATAATCGATTTGTCATTTCAAAGAATATTTTAATTCCTATTTTATAATTTACTAGCGTGTACCAGCGACTTCGTTCGCGTCGAATTAATCATTTGTAATGGTGATGATAAAGCAAAGCAAGAATTTCCATTAACATACAAACTGGATAAAATTTTCTCACATGACTTTCGAAAAATCCGTTTGCCAAAAATAAGCTTTTTACGTCAAGCAGTTTAAGCAGAATCGTGATTAAGAAATTACCCAACTTTTTGGAACACCCTGTATGATTTTTTAAAAATTTCAAAATATGCAAAAAACCCAAATAAATTATGCTTGTCCAAGAGTTTTCCCGAAAGACTAACCGTTTTTTAAATAACAAATATTGTAATATTTGAGGGGCGTTTTCACCCTCTTGGAATTTGAGATTCGAGAAACCCCTCCTTATCAAACCTCTACACCCCACAGTCAATCCGTTTGCCAAAAATCAGCTTTAAACGTCAAGCAGTTTAAGCAGAATCGTGATTACTCAATGGTCATATTTTATGAAACACCCTGTATAAATTTATAAAAATTTTTAAAATATGTAAAACAACAAAATAAAATATACGTGTTTAAGAGTTTTTCCGAAAAACTCACCTGTTTTTAAATAAAAAATATTTTAATATTTAAGGGATAGTTTCACCCCCTTAGAATTCGAGTTTCGAAAAATCCCTTCTTATCGAACCTCTACACCCTAAAGTTAATCTGTTTTCCAAAAATCAGCTATTTACGTCAAGCGCTTTAAGTAGGATCGTGATTAATCATTGACCAGATTTTTCGAAACACCCTGTATACATTTTTAAAAAATCTTAAAATATGTAAAAAACAAAATAAAATATACGTGTTTAAGCGTTTTTTCTGAAACTTGGCCGTTTTTTAAATATATAATATTGTAATATTTGAGGGGTGGTTTTACCCTCTTGAAATTGGAATTTCGAAAAATCCCTTCTTATCGAACCTCTACACCCTAGAATCAACCTGTATGCCAAAATAAGTTGATCATTACGTTGAGTGGTTTGAGCGGGATCGTGATTAATCAGTATGTCAGTCACTTAATGATTTTATATATTAGTATAGATTAGACAGTAAAATAAACTACAAAAATTAATAAAAACTAATTTCGGAATTCTAAAACATTTATTAAACTTTGAAAATATTCAACAATTTTTTTATTATTTAAATAAAAATATTTATATATCTAATGATAATAAATTGTTTAGTCCACACCTAAAAACATAACACATAAAAGGTAGTAGACGTATTTATAACAAAGTATCCTGTTTTTATATTACGTAAGTATCTGATATTCTCAATGTATATGGATATGATAGTCAATTCTTTTGATGACGTTTATTTTTTATATGATATGCACACTGGATTGGACCCTATATTTTTTTACAAATAATTTTTTAAATTGTATTCATCAATACCAAACTTAAAGATTTCAAATCAGGAATCTTCAGAACATAAAAATGGATTAAAACAGGGTATTTTACTGGTTGCATATCTATATCCTACTTTAAATAGTCTATCAGTACATATTTCAGGCAGCAAATTTCAAAAAAATCTTGTATCCTATATCATGCTCAGCCATTTTTTTTATGAGAAATAGCAAATTGTATGAAATTACAGGTAGAGTGACAAAAGGTAAAAAAAATAATATGTACTGTATAAAGAAATATTACCACTAAAATTATATCTGCCAGATAACGCACCGATGGGTATGTATTTTGTTATATCTAATATCAAAAATCGTATTTGAACACTAATAATTCTTTAAAAAAACCGTCAATATATCTAATTGCATTTTTCAAACGCTTTTTGAGTGTATATGTCCATTTCCATTGGCAGTATCATCACTAGACCCTTTGTCCTGTCCTTTGACAGTAAAAGTAACGTAGTATCGTTTGTTTTGGTCTAGTTTATCAGTTGGCAGTGAAATGACTTGCTTGTCAGCTCCGTGGCTTAGC